ATATTTTTAAATAAATTATCGTAAATATTGTTATAATTTTCTACTTACACACACACACATATACATGTGCATCTCAATAAATTAGAATGTCATGGAAAAGTTAATTTATTTCAGTAATTCAACTCAAATTGTGAAACTCGTGTATTAAATAAATTCAATGCACACAGACTGAAGTAGTTTAAGTCTTTGGTTCTTTTAATTGTGATGATTTTGGCTCAGGATTTTGGGTTTTTGTTAAATGTGAGCCAAAATCATCACAATTAAAAGAACCAAAGACTTGAACTACTTCAGTCTGTGTGCACTGAATTTATTTAATACACGAGTTTCACAATTTGAGTTGAATTACTGAAATAAATGAACTTTTCCACGACATTCTAATTTATTGAGATGCACCTGTATATATATCAATTACTACAATTTTAAGATTTTTAAGTATTATTGAAATAGTAATTATTATTCAGAATGTTACTATTTTTTATTATTATATATTATATAATTTGCTCCTTGATAAATGATGGATTTGTTTATAGGCAGAGGTAAAAAAAAAAAGAAAGGGTAGAAAAGCAAATGTATCTTTCTCCTTTAACTTTTCCGCTGTTGTTCTCTAATTGTGTATCATTTAATGCCCTCAGGTGGTACCTTAGTTCCAGGTCTCCTGCCATGAGCAAAGCACCCCAGTGGCCTGTGGCAGGATGACTGCTGTGTACCCGGCTGGGGGGGGCTCCGTTGGGGCCTCAGAAGTAGCCACGGGTCCCCAGCGTTATGCCCGATGGAGCCGACAAGACCGCTCTGACATCTGCACGGACGATGAGGGGACCCAGCCGCGCCGCCTCACCCCACTGGAGAAGCTCAATCTGGACATGTGCCAAGATGAGAAGATGGTGAGAGAGCTCACCGTGGGCCGCCATATCGGCTTCTACAAGATTCGTGGCGAGATCGGCTGTGGAAACTTTTCCCATGTTAAGCTGGGCATCCATGCTCTGACAAAAGGTACGTATCAGTTAAGAGCCTCTGAACTGAATTCTGTGTAATGGGACATATTCTATTACTTTACGGAGCGGTTTTCCCCACAAGCTACAGTAGGAAGCTAAAATATTGATGTATTTATTTTGGAGCAGCTCACTGACACTGTAGAATTTTATGATCCTGGGATATTCCTATAGCTCACTGACACCCTGTAAAGTATGCTTTACTCTCAGTGTTATTGTCTTGATGAATATGTGTCCTGAGAGTCAAGTTTACATTGATAATGTGGGAAGCATGCCCTCTGTCAAAGTCAAGCTGAGACTACTTGTCTGGTCCAGACACGGATTGATTATGAGGTGTCACATTTCTGTCGAGACCTTTAGAATTGCTGTAGGCCTCATCAAAGATTGCCGTGTGTAAGGGATAGGAGGTTGTGGTGTGTTCATATATACAGTTAGTAGGAATGCATATGTCCCTCAGACAAAAGAATATGAATGTTTTCTGAACGAGAAACTCCTGTAACTGAAACTTTATGTTGTCATCCACAGACAAAGTAGCCATCAAGATCTTGGATAAAACCAAGCTTGATCAGAAGACCCAAAGGCTGCTGTCCCGGGAGATATCAAGCATGGAAACACTGCACCATCCAAATATCATCCGTCTGTATGAGGTGGTGGAGACACTGACCCGTCTGCACCTGGTCATGTATGTGTCCTGAGAGTCAAGTTTACATTGATAATGTGGGAAGCATGCCCTCTGTCAAAGTCAAGCTGAGACTACTTGTCTGGTCCAGACACGGATTGATTATGAGGTGTCACATTTCTGTCGAGACCTTTAGAATTGCTGTAGGCCTCATCAAAGATTGCCGTGTGTAAGGGATAGGAGGTTGTGGTGTGTTCATATATACAGTTAGTAGGAATGCATATGTCCCTCAGACAAAAGAATATGAATGTTTTCTGAACGAGAAACTCCTGTAACTGAAACTTTATGTTGTCATCCACAGACAAAGTAGCCATCAAGATCTTGGATAAAACCAAGCTTGATCAGAAGACCCAAAGGCTGCTGTCCCGGGAGATATCAAGCATGGAAAAGCTGCACCATCCAAATATCATCCGTCTGTATGAGGTGGTGGAGACGCTGACCCGTCTGCACCTGGTCATGGAGTACGCAAGCGGAGGAGAGCTCTACACGAAGATCAACACAGAGGGGAAGCTCTCCGACATCGACAGCAAGATTGTCTTCTCTCAGGTTCTCTCAGCTGTGAAGCATATGGTGAGATGTACATGATGCAAATGAGTAGAATTCAATGAGAGAAATCTGTTATAATTGTGGACTAAATGTTTACAGGGTACAAACGTATTCTCGTTATGATTCCTCTGTTTTTCCTGACCTTTAAAATTTGGCAGATTTAAGCCATTTCATGCCAGTTTACTTTTTCAGTTTTTCGATAACATACATAGTTGGAGAACACATACATAAAGGTCAGTGACACAATGCCCATTTTTTGTCAGAATTTTTTTCAGAAATACAACATAATACAATGAAAATGCAGTTAATTCACACAATGATCTCTGATCATTTCTGAACTAAAATACATCTGTATATATTCATCTTATAGAATATATAAGATGTTATATGTACACATTTTCATCTTATAATTTTTTTATTAGGTTGTTGAATTAGTTGTTGATTAGATTGAAGTCTTTGAAAATAAAACTGTAAAAATGTAAAGTATTAAATATATTTTAATATAATTAATATAATAGTTAATAATTAGTGTTTACTTTTTAAAATATTGCATTAATAAATGTTAACAGTTGTGAAAAACTATATTTTAGGTCAAATATTTATTATATAAAGTTTTATTAGAACATATTAAAACAAATTAAATTAAATAGCTGATTTTTAAAGAAGAATTCAATATTTTTAATATAATAATTATTATTATTTATTTGCTTGTTTTCAGTGTTGTAACATGACTAAAATGTCCAAAATTGTAGTAAAAATGAATATGCATATTTAGAAGATTGCTACATTTGATTCAAAACAATGGTGAACCTTATTTATAAATAATGACAATAATGATAATGATATTTTTGGGAGGTATAGTTGAAAATAGCTGATACAAATGCCCTGATATTGTGAAGAAAAAGCCTCTAAAAGAATACAATTCTTACACAGAAACCTTTATTAAATAGTTTGGCATTTAAAAAATATAAAATAATATTAAACAAATATATATTTGAACACACTCACATATAAGATTTTTTTAATATATTTTGATACAAATATATTTACCCAGTTAAATCAGTTTAGAAACATTGTTATTCAAAATATCTGTATATTTAGTAGTTAATAGTAGTTTATCTTTCTAATTTTGCAGCATGACAATAACATCATTCACAGAGACCTGAAAGCAGAAAACGTTTTTTACACCTGTAGCACCTGTGTTAAAGTGGGAGACTTCGGCTTCAGCACCGTCAGCCGGCGCGACGAGACTCTCAACACCCTCTGCGGTTCTCCCCCTTACGCCGCTCCTGAGCTCTTCAGGGATGAGCTCTACATAGGTGCTTGTGTGGACATCTGGGCACTGGGGGTCATGCTCTTCTTCATGGTGACTGGAACCATGCCCTTCCGTGCTGAAACGGTGGCCAAGCTAAAGCGCTGCATCCTGGATGGGACGTACACAGTGCCTGCTTGGGTGCCGGAACCTTGCCAGAAACTGATCCGGGGCATCCTGCAACCCCAGCCGTCTGACCGCCGCACTGTAGAACAGATGATGGGCTGTGAGTGGCTGCTGCCGTTGGAGTTTCCAAAAGCCATGGAGCCCTTCAAACTGGACCCGCTCCATCTGGCTGAGTCTAAGCCGGGGGAGCTTGAAGAGCATGAGATAGAGGTGAGGAACGCCCTGGAGGCTCTTGGCATCACCGCAGACCACATTCGTAACAACCAGGGCAAAGACTGCAGGAGCTCCATCACTGGAGTCTATCGAATCCTCTTACACCGCTCACATAAACGACAAGCAGTGGAGAGCATGCCAGTAGTTACTCACGTAGTGAATGGAACTGATGCTAAAAAGGACCGTCTGAAGACATACAGGAGCCTTAGGCATACATCTAAACTCTGCATCATTCTGTGATGCTCGGAAAACATATACATAAATAATGGACAGCTCACAGAAGCTATAGTTCAGCTAGTTATATTTGAATATACCTCTTTTGTTATCTTTTTTCACTTGAAAATTAGATCAGTGAATGCCTCTAATAAAGTAGTCCGTATGAATGAATGGAAAGTATGAGCGTTTGCAAGTGAGTGAGTGGAAGACTTTTGTCTTAATGTCATTGATGACACATGTCATAAATGTATTTAATAAATGTAATAAAGTGCTCTGGACTGCATTGTTTCAAACATTCCCTTTGCAATATAATTCACAATTATTTACCACAAATGTTCTAAAACATTTTTATTATTGTGTGAAGTGATGCTTACCAATTCATTCATTCATTGCTTTTACTGATTTTACTGTATTTTTTAATGTTTTAATATATCTCATAATCAAAAAGTGACTGGGGGGAAAACTGTGTAAAACAAGAATTGTGAAAAATAATAGATATTACAAGTCACAAATTTAGTATATAAAGTTTTATTAGGCTATGTTGAATTAGATCTTTGTCTTTGAATATTAAAATGTTAAATATTAAAGTATAAATATTTTTTTTTACATATAATTAATAATTATTATTATTTGGTTACTTTTTTTTAAAATGTTGCACTGTGTACAAAAATAACAATTTATGAATATATATAGCCTACTCTATACACACGACATGAATTATAATGCACACAAGTTTTTTTAAATGGATTTTTCCATTTAAACTTGCAATAACATTTTCACGAAGTCTTCCTAAAGTAGCCTACAGATTAATAAATGGCGTATTCGAGGCATGACATTAAACCCTACAACTCCCAGAAAGCCTTTCGCAGAAGACGTGCACGTACTGACGCGCCCATACGTGATGACTCAATTTTTGCCTCGTTGGAGGGTGATTTCATCAGGAACGGGACAAAGAGTGAAGGCACTTCCCATTTGTTGTCTATGTCAACGTATGTTATTTCGGTACAAGATCATCAGAGGTAAGGGTTTATTTAAAGCATTTTAGATGCTTCTCGACTTTGCCTTCCTCAGCAAAATTCACAATTCTTACTGTAACTGTAGAGCTGTCAAATGTCAGACCTATCACATGCTTTACCAAATACTTTAATTCCTATAATATATGCAATTTATCATAATTCCATTGTCCTGTTCTATTATATTTTGTTCTATTTTTTATTAGTTTTACTATTATTAATAGCGTTATTATTGTCATTATCAATAAATCTGTTAAAACTCTGCGATACATATTGTCACTGTGATGAATATTTAGCAAATCGGAACACATAACCAAATCAGATTCAAATTTGACCTGTATCGTTTTTTCACTAGTAACATTATTGTCTGCACTGATATCATCGTGTTATAGTAGTATTTCCTGGTTTAGTGGGTTTTAAAACTATTTGTCACACACAGTATAACCATTTATTGTTTGCGATTTAGATTTATTGTTAATGCTGTGAAGTTGTTGGTTGTCATTTGTGGTGTTGTTTAAGACGGAAATGCAGTCACATGATGAGTGGGCGGGGTCTGAACTTGATCGAGCTATCAGTGCGCAGTTTCGCTGCGGATCTGCCCTGTTTCATGTAGTCTCATTTGATTTCTACTTCTCTAAAGCACTGTCAGATGTCGGTTTGCGAGGATATGGAGAACACAGACCTGCTTGGTCTAATCTTCCCATATGAAGACCCAGGATCCGGTGATCTGTTCCTCACAGAGGGGAATAACTTGCTGGATGATTTGCTTTCAGAGCATGATGTATGTAACCTTCACGTCCATTGAACTAAATCTGAAAATAATTTCTAATTTCATGTTTTTGTGACGTAAAAGTTATAATATAGTCTAGTATGATAAGAAAACCGATAAAAAGAAAATGCAACTGCACTTTTATAGTATTATGAAATATATTGATTAGATACAAATGCTTTTGTCTTTTGAAATGCTGCATGGAGTGTATTTATATAATATATTATATATTTAAAAATATAAATAATAAAAATAAGTTTATCGTTTTAATTTATATAATATTAATAATACAAATTATTACTGCATAATACAGAAGATGCTTTTATTCTTGCAAATGCTGAATGGAATGTGTTTATACAATAGTAATATTAATATAATAACAAATATTGTTGTATGATAGATAGATACATTTGTTAACAAAGACATTAAAATTATTTATTTTAAATCATTATTATTTAATATTTATTATTGTTGTGCATGATAGATAAATAGATAGACTGTAAGACAGACTTTGTTGCAAATTAAATAAATTTATTGTAAACCATTATATACATTTATTTTGAATAATAATAATAAATAACTAAATAGAAATTACTTTACAGTATGTAGATTAAATAGACAGACAGACAAAGAAATGCTTTTATTGTTGCAGATGCTGAGTGCAATGGATACAGAGGACTTTCTCAGCAGTCTTCTGGGTGAGGAAGAGGACGGCCTGACTATCAACTGCTTGTCTCAGTCTCCTCACGGCAGTGACAGCGGCATCTCTGAGGACACCACCCCTCCATACTGCCAGAGTCCACATGATAGCAGTGAGACAGACACCGTCCCCAGTCCAGGCGTCGAGCCTCTGCTTTATTCCGAATGTGTGACAGAGAGCTACGAGGCCCAGGTGGTGCAGGCAGACCACTGCTACACCCTGCCACAGGGCACAGATGCCCTGCTGAGTGTCCGATCAGAGAATCCCGAGTCTGATGTCTTCATAGATGTAGGTAAGGTCATGTTGTGGTGTGTAGAGCCATATGAAATATTCTTGTTTCTTTTTATTTTTTGTTCAAATGGTTTATTTAAGTGTCCCATCATAAGTTTGATTATCCTCCTGTCAGATGATTTGGATGATAGTATGGAAGATGGCTTCTCCCCCGAGCTGCCCTGCTCACTCACGATTGAAGACTCCACACAGAGCAGCAAACCAGACAACCTGGTACATTTCAAATGATTTAAAGAAAACAGCAAATTGTTACCATGACAACTCAGATCAGATATAATGTGCATATTTTGTCTCCAGTTCCAGTTCAAAGAGATTGTTTTGACTGATGAGGAGAGGAGACTTCTGGCAAAAGAAGGTGCAACCATTCCAAATCATATGCCTCTTACAAAGGTAAGAGAAATGGGTTCTGATTAATGGTGCTTTCATATTGATGTTTTGCAACAAATTTTGAAATGCAAAATTAAACGTAACATGATAGTGTTAGCTAAAATGCTGTGTGCCTTTAGGCAGAGGAACGGACCCTGAAGAGGGTGAGGAGAAAGATCCGGAATAAGCAGTCTGCTCAGGAGAGTCGCAAGAAGAAGAAAGTTTATGTTGATGGCCTAGAGAACAGGTTAGTGTGAGAGACAGACACTATGACAATCATAATGTTTCTTAAAATACAGGAAGCACTTAACACTTAACTATGAAGCTATTGCACAATGTACTGTGTATTCAGTGTTTGTAACTGTTGTAGTTCAGTTGATGCTTCAGCTGTTATTAATTCAATGAATAAGGTTTCAGGATTGAATTATATATATTGTGCAACTGTATTGTTTTTGTGATTTACACTACCGTTCAAAAGATTGGGGTCAGTAAGATTTTTGAAAGAAGTGTCTTAGGCTCACAAAGACTTCATTTATATAATCAAAAATACAGTAAAAACAGCAATATTGTAAAATATTATTACAATTTAAAATAACAGTTTTCTATTTTATTATGTTGTAAAATGTTATTTATTCCTGTGATGTGGTCATTACTCAAGTCTTTAGTGTGACATGATCCTTCTGAAATCATTCTAATGTTTTTTTTCCCAGGATTCTTTGATGAATAGAAAGTTCAGAACAGAAATGATTTGAAATAGAAAATTTTTGTAAAATTATAAATGACTTTACCGTCACTTTTGAGCAATTTAATGCTGTGTCAAAGTATTAATTTCCTTAAAAAAAATCTTACTGATCCCAAACTTTTATAAGATAGTGTGAATTTGAATATTATTTGTAAATTGCTTAAATAGTTTTAAGTAATTGAAATAATATTTTTTATATCCATAGGGTTGCGATCTGCACTGCTCACAACCAGGAATTACAGAAGAAAGTTGAGATGCTGCAGAAACAAAACATGTACGCCTTCATCATGTGTATTCATCATCAGTAGCATAACATAATTTTAGTGAAGATTTTAATGATACTTAATTGCTACTAACAACAATTGTTGGTTTTCTATATAAAGATCCCTTATTGAACAGCTAAGAAAACTGCAGGCTATGGTGAAAATGTACACAATGAAAACCACCACAACTAGCACTTGTATTATGGTGAGTATTTAGCCACTCTATAATGTAATCTATCAGTGGGGTTGTAGTTCTGTTGAGTTGGTTTTATTTGAACACATATTTATTGGTCATAAATGAAATATGCACGAGTGTAATCTTTCACCAGCATGTAATGGAAACTTTGTGTCTTGCAGAAATACAATGGCAGTGTGATGTGTTTCCTGACCTTCTCTGTTGTCACTTTTTCAGGTGTTCCTGCTTTCTTTCTGTCTGATCATTTTCCCCTCAGTCAATCCTTTTGGCAGCAGCAATCAGAAAGATCTGTATACGTCGTCTACAGGTGAGCACAACATTTGTCATTGTTTCCATAGTGTGCTGAGGAATGTTGTCCTGCTTGTTATTCTGTTTTGTTGTACTGTATTGTTCTACTTATACAATAATGCAGTTTCAGTAATCAATACCAGTGAAATTTCACAATTCTTGATGCTAATTTAATAAGGATAACTAATATGCCAATAAACACACTTCCTTATTTAAAAAATGTGTTTAAAAAATAAGTTAAATAGTTAAATAATATTTAAATTTCATTAAAATTAATAGCATGTGCCCTTTCTCAAACAAACAAACAGATTAAAGTTATACATAAATAGTCTAGTAAGTGTCAATAAAAAATCAGTAAAATAAATATAAACATAAAAGATACAAGCTTCATGTTTTTTTTAGATATCTAGGAGGTTATTTTAGTGTAATTTATATACTATTATAAAGCTTGTTAATATTTTGAAATAGAGTTTATTTTTATATTTTGTTTGTATGTTAATTTTAGTTAAAGTTTTAGCAATTTGGTAGTGTGTTTTTGTCATTTTTATTAGTATGTTTTTAAATATGTCTATAGTTTTTATTCATTTGTATTTATTAGTTTTAGTCTATTTAGTTTTAGTTATTTTAGTAGTTCAAGTTAAAGTAAACCAAAATGAGAAATGTTGCCTTGGAAACTAGCTGAAATAAAATAACCTTAATTTTTAAAATATTTTATTTCAGTTAACAGTTATTTTATTTCAAGTAACAAAAAATGTTTATGTTTTAGTTTTGTTTAACCATAATATGCCTGGAGCAAAGTAAAGTAAAAAAAAAACTGAAAAGTAAAAAAACCTACTTAAAATATTGTATTACAAAAAGGTTCAAATAATTATGATTTTTTTTTTTCCCATCAGTTTTCTACCTAAGTACTGGTGCTTTACGCATAATTAAAAAACATGGTTTTCCCCTGCTTCTAGGAATGTCCCGAGCCCTGCGGTCTTATCCAGCTACCCTGAAAGACGACATTATATCCACGTCTGCTAAAGAAGTGCCAGATCAGGATGTCCTCCTCATGGCCACTGTAGAGAATAACCAGGTGCTGCTGTCCGGCGCTCAGAACCACACACCTGACTACCAGCGGGCCGAGCAGTCTGACTCTGAGTCTGGTGTCAACAGCAACTCATCTGCTGACTTCCCCACTCCTGCCCAGTCAGATCTCAAAGCAGACGGATCTCTCTCAGAGTCCCACAGGAACTCAGCAGCATCTCCGGTGATCTACGACAGCCAGAGCAAAACCAAGGAGAGCTGGATGGAACAGAAACCCACGTCAGTTATAATAAAACAGCACCGATCTGATGAAATGTAGGAGAGCATCTAAAACAAAACTTGCTTTGTTTTAGATGAAAAATTCAGTATAGCCATTTTCTCTTCATTATAGCATCACATTCTGACCCTTTTTCCTTCATTTTAATTTTTTTACATGGATCTACTGTCATGCTATAATAGCACTTTTTTTTAATAATAGCAGCCATTTGTTAGGATGTTATTGTCCTATTCATCTGCACAAATGATGATTGGAAACGTGAAGGAGTCATATTGTTTTGAACTCTGCATTGCGCCCACATTGAGTTTTAGTACATTCAGGAAATGTATTCATGCAATTGTATTACTTGAGACATTTTAGGTCTTTTGGGCATCTAGTAAAATATAATTTTCCCTCTTTTAGTAAGGGAGCCACATGCTTAAAGAGATTCCACTACTGAAAAACGATCAGTCCTAGTGATATGGGAGTGTATTTAGAAAAGGGAAAAGCTTTTAAATAATTTTTATTTTTTGCTTGTGCATTGTTTGCGGCTTAGAACCTCTTCCGTCAAACCGCTGTAAATTTAGCATTAAATGTACCTTTTAGAGGGGGCATAGTGTTGCACATATCCACACAAATAAAAAAAATTGTTTATGTCTATATATGTATATACGTATGAAAAGAATGTCATGATCTGCTGTGTCAGAGAAGCATTTTTATGTTATTTTTTAATGTTATTTTGTTTGTTTCTTAAAAGACTTATTTTTATTGCAGTCTTTTTTTATTAATTTCTTTCATTCTTTGGTCATATGATGCACTGATGTATCTGTAAACTTGGAATGTTCATAAACTGTTTATCATGTTATAATTAATAAAAAATGATCAGTTTACTATAAAAAAATGCATTTTTGCCATTCATCACGATGAAAATTGATATAAAGAAATGAATGAACAATGAAATGATAATGATAATAACACTAGAAATGATGCATATAATGGCACTAATTTCAAAACAATGGGATTCTTATAAAGTGATCTATATAAGATGAAACCTTGAAACTAGGTCAGTCTTCTGTACATGTCTGAGCATGTTATCACAGTCAGACATGTCCTTTTTAGGCTGATAGAAAGAAATGCAAATCAACACAAAGTAACCTATAAAAACCAAAATTATCCTGTTTTATTTTAATGCAAATGCACTAGCTAAAACTGAGACGTAAATCTGTACCAATCTATTTTACGTCATAACCTCAAAAAAAGCTCATTAAGTATATACAAGTAGATAATATCATTGCTTACAATGTTAAAAGTAAAAACGCTGAAATATATATATGACCAAGAGTAAATAAACTGAGACGTAAATCTGTACCCATCTATTTTGACACACATACGAAAAAAACGTCATAACCTCAAAAAAAGCTCATTAAGTATATACAAGTAGATAATATCATTGCTTACGATGTTAAAAGTAAAAACGCTGAAATATATATATGACCAAGAGTAAATTAGAAGAGTTTAAAAGGAAATTTAAATATCTGGAACGCTGATAAATATTTGTTTCTTATTTCCTTGTTGTACCTGCAGATGGCGCCACAACATCTCGAATCACTGTGCTATCATTAGTTCTACACAGGTGGCTTTAGAAAAGGAGAACAATAAATCTGTTGATATAATGCCACTTTCGATCATCCAGTTGTACTGTGTTTAACTGTGGTATCGTGTATCAATACCCTGCAGGTTTGATTTCAGATGCATGAATTTATGGAGTGTTTCAACATGAGCAAATATTCATCCCTGCTATTTGAGATGATGAGCAAGTGCATCTTTTGTATCTGAATGGCGTGATTCATTCGGCCACTTGTGCACAGCCGCTAGATGGCGCCTAACATAAGAGTAATATCAATCATAAACCCCAAATCTCGGTGCTTTTAAATAATATTGACGCATTAGTTATTACATCATTTGGCATATTAGGAGAAACGTCTCTAAAAGTTGCAAGTAAACATAGATCAAGTCATATCTACTCCACCCTGCTGTAAGAATCAGTTTAAACCAGGTTTGATGGTTTAAGCAGGTCTCCCAGACGATTAAAATGATCTTCAGCTACTCTACCATCTTGACTATCTCAAAGTGCCTATAACCCCTCTGAAACCAGGCTGGGAGACCAGTTAAGACCAACTAAATAGTCTTGTCAGCAAACTGCTGCATACAGAATTACAGAACTTACAATAGCCAGTTTGAACAAGACTTGATGTTGTAGTCTGATATGTGCAGGGCTGTTTCGAGATGTTACTGAATAATTGATTAATCTCTATTTACGGGAATAACATTGCTCACCGTTTTAGACGTGGTATTAAGAGCTAAACAGGCCTGAGGTGGAGTGATAGTTATCTGCTATTTCTATGTATGCATTCAACTGACTGACTTCCAAAAAATATGAACAAAAGATTTGGCTCTTGGTCTCACTGGGACACATTTTCTGCAGTCTGCAACAAAGCCAGGGGCAGGTGGAACATGAGGCTGTTATTCCTGCTTTAGGGCCAGCCAAGCAGTCATTAATGGGCACACAACAAAGACACATAAATTAGGATGACTCCTTTACAAATGCAAAAGAGTGGCGTGTGCCTCACTCACCAGTCTTTGTGTCTGTGGGGCTGGTGGGGGTCATGTTTTGCTTACATTGTGGGGACCAAGGACAGCAACCCTGCTGGATACATGCATGAAACATGGTAGTTGGTTCCTAGCTGGTTTGAACTGGAGCAACAACAAACCAACTACCTGAAGTCACCTTTGTGAGGACCATTGTGAGGGTTAGATTAATTAACATCAAAATAAAACAAATTAAAATGTGCGATATTAGAGTTAACCACATTAACTCTGGCATAATTCCGTTTTTCTAGATGAAGGGATTAAATAATAAAATGAACTCAAAAACTTCACGCAGTTTGTACCCAAGCAGTAAGAACGAGCACGAGCCGTACTTTGTGTTGTTGACTGAGTGATATTTGAATACCCACGTGGGCTGTTTACTGTCAAGGCGATTGCATCAGAGTAATTTACATACACCCTTGCCACCAGCCAATCAGAACCGGGTATGAGCGGAATGCCCGCCCACTGCCGAGAAACTGAAGCTGATTCCGTATAAAACAAGGCGAGCGCTTGACACGGCGTTACAAACTCAAAGCTCACCGCAAGGGAAACGCACGCAAAACGCGACTTAACGTGGATTTAAACAATGACTTTTGAAGAATTTAGTGGACAAGATAACGCAGCTGCTACTGGCGATAGGTGAGTTTCTTATTCAGTTGATGCTGTTTTCGTTTTTTTGCGTTTTATCAAACAATTGCTAGGTAAAGTATATTGACTAACACGCCGGTTGTGTTCTCCAGAATGCAGAGTGCAGGAACGGCACTAGAGGAGCTTCTGGTCTCCGCTAGGAAGCAGGACTGCCTTACCGTTGGGGTGTATGAGTCTGCACAAGTCATGAATGTGTAAGTATCTGTTTATTTATTACTAAACGGCTTAAGGTGATGCTTTTAGTATGCATTATGTCATTAGACACTGAGAGGGTGGCATATGGAAATGTTTCTTTAATTACCTAGTCTTCCCAATAATGAATAATTGGGTGCATCCTTATGCATTTATGCAAGCAGCACACGCTGAACCGTTCCCTAATCAACATATCTCCTTTATGCAACCTCAGTGACCCAGACAGCGTTGCTTTTTGCGTCCTGGCTACGGATGAGGAGTATGAATGTGACATCGCCTTGCAGATCCACTTCACTCTCATCCAAGCCTTCTGCTTCGACAACGACATCAACATTGTTCGTGTGAATGACATTGAACGTCTTGCTAACATTGTGGGCAGCGATCAGGATGAGGAACCTAAGGACGTACACTGCATACTTGTAACTGTGAGTATCTCAACTCCTCTTCACTGCATCTGCACCTACACTTTGTCAACACCTACATTTGCACTACATCTGCGTGTCTTACTAATATTGCTTCTATTTTTTTCCCCAAAGAGCCCCAGTGCTGACTCTTGGAAAGATTCTGCTCTTGAGAGATTGAGCTTGTTCTGTGAGGAGAGCCGCAATGTCTACGAATGGGTGCCTACGATTACTCTGCCGGAGCGCTGATAGGAGATGGTTTTGGCACGTGAATGAAACCAGAAACAAGTCGAAGTTGTCCATCCTAAAGGGTACACCGATGCAAAGCAAAAAAGCTTTGAGATCTTGCCTGGATTATTCTCACAACTGGGAGGATAAAAGTGGACTGACCCAGCGAACGGTTGGCCGTCCTGGAAAAGCTGATGTTCAGAATCTATTTTTGGACGAGCATGGAAAAGTGAAAGCTCCCGTGCTTCTCAAGTCTGTTGTGGTGGCATCGCGGAGACAACAGGAGAGAAAAGGACAGGTGGACTGTGAGAGCACGTTTATGAGATTGACGGCGAAGAAGAGCCTTGGAATTAGTGTTCTTGAAGAATATGAGATGTGGATTTTAAAGAGGAACTAAGTTTAAGTAACATTTTGAAGATGTTTTAAAGTCTAATGTGCACTTGGGGTGTTGTCTGAAAAATATCACATGGACACTAGTGTAGCTAGTGGGGGGGTGATTACTATCATGAAGTTGTGCTTTTTGTCAAATATTCACAATGCAATGTCAAACTGTGGTGAAGAAGCCACCATTTCTGCAATAAAATTTTTAAATAAATACCTTAAAAGTGCAATTATGGTATGTTTCATTTCAAAGTTGTCACCTTTCAGCAATGTGTTTTATTTTCACTCAGTTACATCAGAGGAGGGAGTTCAGGGCAGTTCAGTAACACAGTCTACAAGAGAGAAAGAGAGGTTTCGATTGCACTAGAGAAACTGGCACCTCTCCAAGCTCTTACTGAACTTTCACCACCCATGCACCAGCTGCTTTCTTTAAAGGGCTTGCTCAACTGAAGGGCCCCCTTTGCAATAGGGGGACTGACTTCTGTCATGTGTAGGTTTTGCACCATCCATTTGGAGCAGAGGCAGGGTAGAGCCAGATCCGTTGGATGACTAATTGAGCTGAACTCACCAAACACAACAGTCGAAATGGAGCTGTCTTGACAGTAACGGTTACAATATAGGGGGTGATTTTAAACCTAAAATGCCCTTTTTTTTATTTTGCATTAAATACAATTATGAAATTTAATAATAAAAAAAAATATATTTTGTACAAGCTGAAGTACATTAGCAGCAAGTTAATACGAATCCCATTTCCATGATGGCTCCATTTACTAAGTCAATTCAACTCATTCAACTTCATTGTGTGCATATGGTTTGTGGTTTACAAGAGAAAGGGTGCTAAACTACCAGTAAGACACTCATTTGCGGTTTGTTTGATCTCTAGTTACGCTGTCCAGTCAGCCTCGTGCTCAGTCTTCCAAAGTTACATCACTGGAAATTTTCTGAAAAGAAAGCTGCATATGTTTAACAGCAAATACTTGCACCAGGTGTTGTGTACAGATGGCAAATGCCCGAAGCAAGTGCATCCAAACTTAAAAGAGCATTTCAGGTAGTGCCTGAAAAGTCTTTGTGCACTTGAAAGTCAACTGACAAGAAAGCTAAGCTCATGCACACACAAAGCAACACACACCTGCTTATGAAAACAAAGAACAGCAGACAGCGGTTTCACAAAGAGAACCGCACACTCCCTTGGATAGTAATTGATCTTTGCAGTTTACTTTCATTAATTAATGACAGCTAATGCATTGAAGTCAAGAAACTGGGTCAATTGCAAAGGAGGTACCATGGAGATCCGCTTAAGGTCATTCTAGTAACAAACACCCACCAACATTTTCTTTGTAGTCTTTTTCATCACAGCTGTCCAAGTATTCTCAGAAACAAAAAAATGCCTAATATATATCTGTT